ACCCTCCCCCTCTCCCCTCAGCAGAATTTTTTTTTACTGTCAGTGCAGAGACACATCCTGTGTATAAACTGCACTAACAAATATGAATGTTTTCTCTGCCAAAGGTTACTCCACTCAGCCAGGTATGTGTCGGAGTCCTTTCTGCTCCCTTTACAAAGCTGCTGTGAATGTGCGTGTCGCTGAGAACACAGCCATTAAAAACTTCACTTTTAGGGGTCTTTCTTTTATCCGTATGACCGAGTGCTGGAAATGATGGAAAAGTCATCAGAATTAGTGCTGGCAGTATAAAGGCACTATACATCTCTGCCCGGATTACCACCAATCTCGCTGCTGAGCAACAGCACAAAACTACAGACATCAAGGCATCCTGGAACCTTGAGAAAGCTGATGCACAAACAGCACTTCATCTTTTGTCGGTTTGCCACTGACAAAGTCTGGTGGAGAAACGAGACACATGTTTAGCACGTCTGGAAGGAAAAGAAGCAGCTGGGTGGAAACAATGTGGGCTGCGTGGCAGGTTCTCGTCTAGGAGAGGTGCTCCTGTGCAGGGTGCTGTCTGTCGGCGTGGAGGGACCGGGGTCTGAGCAGGAGCTGGGTGCGTGAGGAGGGGGGCAGAACGTCTTGTCTTCTCCATTACCCCCCTCCTTTTCAGGAAAGGATGAGTAATGCAGCGACTGGCCCTCCTCCCCCTCTTAAAAACACACTCCCTCTGTCATTTGTACTACGTCTCTTTCTAACTCTCCCTCTCCTCCTCACTCCCCTCTCTCAATCCCTCCTGCTTCTTACTGCTGATCTCCATTTCCAAATATCCAATAGCACCTCTGTGTTCCTCCTTCGACTTCTCTCTGATTTAGATCTCCTTTACGTAGTGCTCCAGTACACCCCAGGACTCCGATCTTCTGATCACACTATGTGCCTGGGGCTCTCGAGCCACTGTCTTACCTGCTGATGCAGAGAATAGCTTTCAAGGGCTTTCCGGAGGCCATCTTTTCCCTCTGTTGTCTATGTTTACAAAGCCACACCAAAACTTACCCATTCATCCACACCCAGAGATACTGAATATTCCTCAGGATATTTGCCATCTCCCAGCAGCCTACCTAATTATTATTTGCAGGATATTTACCCTGTAACTCACAACTGGAAGCCCACTGAAGCTCAGCAGGTGTGAGCCTGGTCAGTACCTGGATGGGAGACCTCCTGGGAAAAACTAAGGTTGCTGCTGGAAGAGGTGTTAGTGGGGCCAGCACTTTACCAATTATGGCCTCCCAATAATCTCCCAAAAACTCTGTGAAGCGCTTTGAATGCAGTGTCCAGAAAGGGGTATATAAGTGTAAATAATTATTATTATGAAGGAAAATACAATTGAAAGCCCGTCCATAAGAACACAATAATAGTTAAAAATAAGAGGAGGCCATTTGACATATCTGGTCCACTTGGTACTTAGTAGCTTGATCCAAGGATCTTATTCAGCTGTTTCTTGAAAGAAGCCAGGGAATCAGCTTCATATGACTGGGCAGGTTCATTCACATCTTTTGTTGATTTTATTTTCTCAGGGGATACTATAATTGAGGTGCAGGCATAACTGCATACTGCCATCGCAGTTTTATTGGAATTTTATTGGATTTCCCCTGCTCTGACTCTCAATAAATATCGCCCACTTTCCCATATGCACTACACAGTGTCATTGGTACAATGGGCACAAGTAAATACTAATTTCACAACACACTGGTTTCTCATTCAGGACATGCAGGACTGGCTGTGACTGCAACGCAGTGTTCTCCTCTGGATTCTGTATCTTATTTCTGACCCAGCAGCAGTTACCCTCCTCACACAGGCAAGCAAAGCCCTCACTCATTGGTAAGAGTTCAGGAAGCACCTTAATTAAATTGCTCAAATTAAAGAGCTATTTGTGCTTCATTGTGGTGGATGCAGGCAGACTTAGTGAACACTGTAGAGCTCTTCTCCACTGATGCAGTGAGGGTTATGGGATAGAGTGTCTTGTTCTAAGTACTCAATACTGGTATGAGTATTAACGCCTTTAACTGTTTATGTTGAAATTATGGAATTATTTGGAATGAAATGTAAAAATTAGCAGCATCTGTATTAGTTATTATGTATTATGTCATGCTTATAACAGCATAATACTGACTATGAGAGAGTGATGGGGTGCAAGAATATAGTATAACTGGGGTATACAGTGTTCAGGAATGGCAGAAACAACAGTAGAAGCAGTAAGACTGTACACTGTATACTGTTGCAATTATGGCTTACAAGAGTTGGAACTTCACCAAGAAGATGTAAATGTTTCAGAATCCCCAAATGATCTATATTTTACAGAAAATTTGAAATGGCATAAAAAGAGGTCTTTACTAGAGAGAGCAAAAAAGTGAAAAAATATAAATACCATTGTAACAATACCATTGTAAATGTTAACTAATTGTTATTGCAGTAGTCACAAATTCCTCAGTTGTATCAATAAAGCTCTTTGAATCTGAGTTTGAGAAAGATGGCTGTATTACAATCAAAGTTGTTCTTGAGCAGCTGTTGGTGCTGATGAGAATGCTGAATCTTGTTGAACTGATTATGTTGTTAGACACAGAGCAAAAGAGAGGCTCAGATAAGTAGATAAGAGGGCTGTATTTTGGTTTCCATGGAGCCACGCATTTCGAGGACCAGAACGGTACTGGTGCAATCATCACATTAAACATACACTCTCACATACTCGCAGATTCTCTCCACATGACCCTGCAGTATCCTTGCTCTGTGAGAATGGGGTGATGGGTGCAGTTCATGTCTCTTCTGCTGTGTAGTCTGCTGAGCTCTACAAGTTACGTTGGTATTAAAGTCAGAGCAAAGAGGGTACAAATGCAGTGATTTTCTAGCACTGCTATACTGTCAAGTTTGGATTTTTTTATCTTGCAATCTGTCTGTTTTAGCTATCTGATTGGATGTGATTTGGAGTGATAGATTGTAGGACATTTCCTCTCTTGGTATCCACAAAACAATCTAATCAGTTCAAGTAAGAAAACGCAGAGCTCGAGGGGTGAAACGCTCTTATATTCTGGATGCAGATGATCCAGCTCAGCTCACACAATACAATAATAATAATAATAGTAAACTTTATTTTATATAGCGCCTTTAAAGGTGGCTTCTCAAAGCGCTTTACAGGATGACGATGACAATGACAAATGAAAATCCTGCTGTGTTCTATCTGGAGTAGGTGTACAAAATAGTGACTCTCCTTCTGACTCTCGTTTACTGACCTGAATTGTAAACTTGTTTATAAAGGGTTATTAGGACAGCAGAGTGCTAAATGAGATTGTGAGCTCAGGAAGTCATCTATTTTTTATACCCCCCTGAGCTCCAACTACCTCTTCCCATTAAAGCAATCTTGCTTTTCCTTTACTGTCATGTCAAGCTGTCATCTCTCAGACTCTGTTTTAAGGCTTTGGTTATTCCCCACCTGGGGTGGTACAGGGCGCTACAACGCCGAAGGCCAGAAGATAGATATCCAAAACTCCATCCATCCATTTTCTCACCCCTTTATCCAATACAGCCTCGCAGGGGGGCCGGAGCCTAGACTGGCCGGCAACAGGCACAAGGCGGGAAACACCCTGGACAGGACGCCAGTCCATCACAGGGCACATGCAGACACAAACAAGCACACATTCACGCCAGGGCCAATATTCCCAGAAGGCAGTCAACGTACCAGTATGTCTTTGGAGGGTGGGAGGAAACCGGAGAACCTGGCAGATAGCTAGGGTCCCAACCCCGACTCAACTAGACATAATCCTGTGCATTACAAAGCACTCTGAGGACTAGTGGAAAGGGGCATTTTAATGCATAACATAGTTTGGCGTAGTAATGAAAATCCTTTTAAAAAGGACCTGAAAACTCTGCAGGTTACATTGCTATCAAGGAGATTCTTAAACTGCACCCCTGTGTGACTCTGTAGGACATACCACAGACACATTTATTGTAGGACCAACGCTTTGTGCTCACACTGTCTGATTTCCTGTAGTGCTCAAATTTCAGCATTGCAGCTTTTAAACATATTTGGCTCAAGAGCTCGAAACGTGGCTTCCAGTGTAAGTGTACAGCACCAGAAAATAAGCTGTTCTCAATTCACCAGAACTTGTTTTTGAAAGCTAGTAGGAACAAAAGGCAGAGACAAGAACGGTGAGTTCAATCCACCATGAACTACGGTAAGTGCTTCTAACACATGAATCCACTCTATTCATGACAGTTGCAGAAGTCCTATAGAATCCACATGAACCTAACTTTAAATCTCCCAATTCTAAATAAATGCAAATTAATTAATTGTAAGCAGATTTATTAATCACAGAGATCAAAGCTGGAGATCTTCTGAAATTCCAAAAAAGGAGAGAAGTTGAGTCATATGTTTTCAATGCCCTTTAATTCTTAATCTATGCCTTTCTTTAAATGTCCCAATTATACTGTATGTGTTTTTATTAAATATTCTGTACACTGTACTGTGTTTTAATGTATAATTTAAATGAAGTACCTTGAGGATGCTTGGCACAGAGAAGTGCTATACTGTATATGATTGAAACTGATTGATTATGATGCTGCTTGACATACCACTCAGACCAATATCTGTAAAAAAAGCTTTTACGCATTTTTGAGATTTTTAAATGTCATCATGCACATGGAACTGACGGCATTATTTTAAAAAAAAGATCTTCATATGATGGACTTGTGGATTTCAGCTGCTGTCTTCCAGAACGATTGTAATGCCGAAATGACACAAATGTATGTCAGTAAGCGACATGTACTGTATCTCCAGCGAGCTCGTCAGCTGCAACTGATTGTTTTTGTTGCTAAAAGATTGCAATGCATCCCTCTAGTCCTTCACTAGAGCCATTTTCAGCTCCAAGATGTTCCTGTGCTCGTGTGCTGTGTGGTGTCTGTGAATCAGGCGCGTGACGGGTTGTCTCTATCTCTGGCAGGGATGCTGCCACACGCTGCTGTGCCCTTACCTGCAGAAGACGCCCGTGCCCTCCACCAGGTAGCACTGGCCCCCGTTGAAGCAGTAGCTGGGGAAGAAGTCACAGAGCGAGCGGCAGGTGGCGTTGTGCCGCACGTAGCCCACCCGGCATTCCGTGGCGTTGGCTGCTCCTGGGACGCCTGGCATGGCAGGAGACTCCACCTCTTCAGCCCCGCTGGGGAGCATGTCCTCGGGGGGCCCGGTGCTGGGAGAGGGAGAGGGGGAGGGGGGCGGGCTGGGGTCGTTCTCGTCCTGCAGGTCCACCGTGGTGAACTGGTCCTCGTCGGGGTAGAGCTCAGTGGTGGAGTAGCTTTCCTCGTAGGGCGTGAGGTAGTCATAGCCGTCGGGCAGGGACCAGGAGGTGGGCTGGCCCTGCAGCTCATGTGCGGCCGGCTCGGGGGATGGCGTCGGGAGTTCCCGGGCGTGGGCCGAGGGGTCGTAGTATTCTACAGTAAGGACGTCGCGGGGGGTGGTGGAGGGGGGCCGGGCAGGAGGAGAGGTGGACTGTTGTTCAAAGAGGACAGTGAAATCCACATCCCCCTTAGCTCCCTGCCAGGGTTGGTCAGTGTGCAAGAGCTCGACCTCCTCGTCCTGCCCCTTAAAGTCCAACAGGATCTCAGAACTGGGCACTGTGGGCAACCCTCCCCCCGGCTGCACCTCCAGTAGGTGGTCCTTCTCTGCCGAGTCGGGGCTGATCTCGGTTAGGCCTGGTGATGCTGTTCCCCCACCTTGGCTAAGGGGGGCGGTAGTGGCACTTTCTCCCAGAACTCCGAACCCACCATCCCCACTCCCCAGATCCTCCCGGCCCTCTCTAGGACGCCGGGAGCTCCGCAGGGCCAACGCAAAGGGCTTGGCAGAGCCAGTCACCGGAGCCACCAGCTCACTCTCCCTGGCAGCATCCACACTTCCCTGGCATCCCACACACAGAGAGGAGCCATTAGCCTTGCTGGCCGTCTGAGTGGCATTGCCCTCCAGGGAGAGGCCTGCAATGGAAACATGCCACATTAGCTGCAGGACTTTGGCCATGCCACGCTCCAACCCACCTCCTTTCAGGAGAAGGCAGATGGATACTACATAAGACAATCTGTTCCAGCGCAGGTCAGATTTAGTGCAGCAAGCTCCTGGAATATTAAAATGATTTAACTGATTAAACCAGTCAAAAATGATCGACTGATTAAACCGTTAAGAAGGCCAGCAGATCTATTGAAAGGTAACTGGAATTTGATTACCACTGCTGTACTACATTGGATAAGACTGTCTATATATTATATATACAGTACACACATGATGTAGGCTTGACTGGAAAATGCTGGAGTCTAGATAACCTCTGAGGTCAGAATTGCATTCAGATATGTCAGATATGTCAATCTCCAGGATGGAATTGACAATGTCAGGCTACAGACCTCTTTAGGTTAACAGCAAAAGAGTGCTTGGGGACACAAATACCACAAGTGCATTTTCGGCTGAAAACAGGTGGCAAATAACACCTAGAATAAATAGATTGCAAATAACACTATATACACACAACAAACTTTATAGAGTATTCATGAATTAATAACTTCTAGTTAACCTTTTGCACAGATCAGATATTAGAAGGGTAATTGCTTCCATTTATAATTTATTAACACATTGTCTTAAAATACACTGCTCATCCACATTCTTGATATTGTCTGTAATCTTTCAAAAAACGACTTAAATGAATTAATATTAACCTCATGAGCATGATGTTGTGAAAGGCTTCCTCTGGTTTGTTACTTGCTTATATTTGGACTGAGATCAGCATAAATAATAGAACATTTCAATCCTAAAGATGAAGTCTGCCCTATGATATTAATGAGAGAGCAATCACAGAAGCCTAAAGCTTTCATTTTAAAAAACTGGACATGATGTGCTGCTGTTCAAATAAACTGTTACATTTAATGGCATAGTGAAAAATGCCATCCATTCAGTCATTTCCATAGCAACATAATCCTATAGAGCTGTGGTGAGCTGAAGCCTAACCAGACAAACATAGGTCTAAAGATAGGTCCATGCTGTAGATGGCATGCCAGTGTGTTGCAGGACACAAATGCACTGAGACAATGTAGAGACACTAATTAACCTAGTACGCATGTCTTTGGAAGGTGGGACTAAGGTGGACCAGCTAACGTTAAAATGGAGTGTGCAATCCAAAACTCCACACAGAAGAAGTTCCAGTCTAGAATCAAACCCAGAATCTAAGAGCCACCAAGATGAGAACCGATAAAAGCAGAACCAATTAAATGCATATTAAAGGTGTCAATCCAAGTGTAATCAAGACTGTCCTTGAAGGCTAACATTCTTTTGAAATTGACTTGTCTTTTTAATAATAATAATGATAATGATGATGATGATGATGATGATGATGATGAATGAAACAAATTAGCAAACTGCCCCTGCACTGACTTTAAGAGAGGAACGTAGCTGTTGTACTAATGCTTTACAATAAAAAATACAAAATAAGAAACAAATAATCCTTAATCGTCTTTGACAGGGGTTAATCATATGTGCCCATTTTTGTCTCTTAGTATCTTTATAAAGCTGCTTGCAAGATGTGGATTAATGATAATGATTTACTAATGCAGTTTGATGGCAAAGATCTGGGATTAGGATTAAGATTTACGACTGAGTGTTGGAGCTGTGCTGGCCTGAAGAGAAACAACAGAATTGGTTCTTTTATTGTTTATATCAGATGAGCTGTAGCCAGTTAACAGCTCCTCAGTTGTCTGTTCTTCTTGACACCCTGAACTGGATATAGGATAAAAAAGTGAACACACACACTGACACACTAACAAAGACCCACAATCACAGCACATGTAGACAAACTCATGCATTCACATTTGTATAATTTCTGTTTCTTTTTTAATTACACACTCATTGTCTTGACTTCCTGGCTGGATTAATTCTCAAATGTTAAAAGCTGTCCAAAAGCCATTTTCGCCCATAGTGCAACTAAATTAAGATAATACTCACAGTAAATTACAGAAAAATAGATACATATTTTTAAAACCTCATTAGTGGATCGCCTTTGTCCAAACGTTGTCACTGATATTTTCCAATGTTCATTTAAAGACAGTTTATTCTGCTCCTGGACTGCTAAGAAACATCAGATCTAGTGATGGTTTTCATATTCTCATGGCGGAGGGGAGAAATGCACAAAATTGCATATTAATGATTTTCATTTGCAATGCTGATCACAGCACAAACGTTTTCGCACGCTTGGCAGAGTGTGCATCCAGCATGCAGAAGATTCCTGTGTAGTTTTAGACTGACTCCAGGGGGACTGCCTGACTGCAAAGCAAGGAAAAATGTGACTAATAATGAGAGTTATTAGTCTAATTCCGCCTTTCGTTTATTTAATATGAAAATTGATTCTGTCAATTTGTCCTTGCATGTCAAATAAATACAAGAACATCAGAGGCTTATTTCTGCCGGCAGAGCTATACGGAGCGCCTTTGAGCATCACCTTGATGTTGAAAGTAGAAGCCCTGCTTAACAGGTGACAAAGGCAGGAAAATGCACAAGTCGAACCGGTTTAGCATTACAGACAGTGTGATCGTTCCTATTCTGCGCTAAGCTGTCTGGAAGCAGGAACCTCTGCAGCTGTCACCACCCAGTTTCTTCATCCCACAGAGCTCATCAACCACTATGTCTCACTCAACAGATGCCCTGTCTCCTCACTGCAGATGACACAAATGTCTTCTTGTCTGCCACCATAGTGATATGAAATCCTCTGGGATCATCACTGTACTGATCCATTGATCCACCAATCAAAGGAAGGTCCCTTAATTTTCACAAAAAACGGATCAAATCAAGAGCACTCTTTGTTTTTTAACTTACAGCTGCATTACTATACCTATTTAAAGAGATGTGCATACTATACATACTTATTATAGCCTTGTAATTTATTATGCCTTTATTGTGTAAAGAGCTTGCCTCACAGTCTGCAGAGCTGGTCCACTTTGCCTGTTGGAGAACTATCATTCAGCCAGCTTCCACAACTCCGTTCCCTTGGGACAAAGGCTTAATGTAATTTTCAGATCTTCCTCTGAAAGCATTTCTAGTAAGTGTATATTCTTGAACGTGTGTAAAAACATTTAGAAGAAATATAACCCCGTGTCCAAACTCCATGTCAGTTTTTGGCCCTTACCCTTTTATGTGTGGCTGGAGTCTGAATACTTTTGTATTATTGGATTTGGTGTGATGTTCTGAAAAAAGTGCCTAAAAAAGGTAAGCCTGCCTTTTTAAAGACAGTTCTCCATTATAGTATTAAACAATATTACCCTCTGAGTTGTTAACAGCCACAGCTGTAAACAGGTAATGATGGTAGGTAGTAATGATACAATACTTACCTGCAATTTTGAGTGCAGTAGAAATATGTTCTATTGTTAACAATATATTATCCACATCCCTCTTAGGATTGCAATAGTTCTTAAAACTCTTGCTGTGTCTGTCTCATTTTCTGAGATTGTTGATTGATTATATAAGCTTGCCTTGTGACTCTTGTCATGTGAACGTCATCCCATAACACATTTGGTAAAACAATTTTTACTCTATGCTCATGAAGTCTTCTCCTTTAAATGCATATGCAACCAAAGCTGTTCATTTAAATGCCATTTTTATTGAATACATTTTCAAACTGGAATATTTAGAGAAAGGGCAGTGATAAGCATTAACTCTATATGGGCGTCTCTGACACAATCAGTGCATCTAGCAAAGCAGTGGCCAAACCACAGCAGTGTAATACTGGATGTGTATAGAACTGCTCTGCCCGGGATTGCAAAGTACTGGAGAGGGTGGTGAAGTCAGCGCAGCTCATTACCGGCTGTGAGCTACCAAACATCCAGGATATCTACTCAGCTACTCAAGAAGGCCAGGTCCATTCTCAAGGACCCCAGTCATCCCAGTCACAAACTGTTTTCTCTCCTACCGTCTGGTAAACGGTACCGAAGTGGTCGGAAATCCCACTTACACCTTGCAGTTTTAGCATAAACCTCCAATGCAATACCATAATATATGAATAGTCCAACAGACTACGGAACAGCTTCTACCTCCAGGCAATAAGACTGCTGAACAGCCAACCTGCAGTTCCTTTAGCAAATCACCTGTAATGCCTACATGGACACACAGTTTTCACTGTATTGTGCATACTGCACTACTTAGACATACTATATTGCATAAACCATGGACACATAGCAGGTCTATTTATATTGAGTTTTGGCTGAGTTTAATTTTATTCAATTTCTATTACATTATTATCTATTATTATGTAACCTTATTTTATCACCTTAATTTAGTGATTTTTACCCCTCCCCCCCAGTAAACTTGTAGAAACTACATTTCATTGCCAGCAACTACAGCTGCATGCTGTAATGTTGTGCATTTGATAAATAAACTTTGATTGATTGATTGATTGACTTAAGCCAGGTGGCTCTGAACGTTTTTAAGAGAGGACAATGTAGAATTTAAATGAGGCATACTATACGTTGTAATGCTGATCTGTGCTGATACTGTACATTGTTATGCTGTTTAAAAAGCAAACATTATTTTCGTTATATCATTTATCATTTTCATAATATCTTTTATGCTCTCTTTTCCATTTATTAACTCAACTACTTCTACAGTAATTATCTTGGAAAAGGAGGAATGCACTGGAGATAGACCTTACCTACTTTTTAATGTCCCTAGGATGCATAACAGTACAATAACTGTGTTGTATACAATGTATTGCGTTGTGGGATTCTATTTTTATGTTTAGTTTTAAACTAACAAAGATCCTTGGATACTATTGTGCATGTACTGTGATATACTATATAAAAATCTCCTAGGGATACAGATTAATACCAGGCCAACAAAAAACCCCAAAATGCAGACTGGGGAGATATCCAATGTTCCCACAACCTTATTCCACAAAATTCTACAGAGACTGTATTGGCAGAGTCAAAGTAGACACAGTTGATTTCAG